TATTTCTTCGCCTTATTTTTTGAATTTTGTAAGGAGCATGATATAATTCACCAAACAATTATGATATATACTCCGCAACAAAATGATGTAGTTGAAAGGAGAAATAGAACTTTAATAGACATGGTTAGGTCCATGATGAACCATTCAAATTTATCACCTCATTTTTGGGGTGAGGCTCTCAACACTACAATATATATCATTAATCATGTTCCAACTAAATCTACAGACATGACCCCATATAAATTATTAACAGGTAGGAAACTTGACCTTACTATCTTGAAAATTTGGGGTTCTTGGGCACATGTGCTTATACTACCACAAAATAGAGATAAATTACAAAGTAAAACTATAAATACTCTTTTATAAGCTATTCAGAAAATTCTAAAGGGTATATATTCTATAACCATGATACTAGATCATTAGTAGAGAGTCGTGATGCTCATTTCAAATATAGATGATGAAAATATTTTAAATAAGCCTATTGACTTATAAGAAATTGATAGAGATAAGGGTCTGGAAGACCCTGTTTCTCAGAGTCCCTCTATATTTGGTGAGAATGATTTAATCGAATCAAGTATATCAGATAGCCCTAAAAGAATTAGAGCCCCACCTACTACTTTAGAAGAATTATATGTATTTATGAATGAAGATAATTAATCTTCAATAAGTGAGCATACAATTGGTGAACCTTGAAACTACAGTGAAGCTATTAGCTCACATGACTCAGCTGAGTGGACTAAAGCCATGGATGATGAACTTGATTCTATTAAAAAAATCAAGTCTGGGAGTTGTTTGACCTCCCTAAAGATAGAAAAGACATCGGTTGCAAATGGATCCTAAAGAAAAAGCTTAATGCAAATGGATCCATTGATAAATATAAAGCTAGGTTGGTAGCTAAAGGATTTACCCAAAAGGAGGGCATAGATTATGTAAAAATTTATTCTCCAGTAACCAAATTTTCATCTATTAGGATCATCCCTGCATTAGTTGCATATTATGATCTAGAATTATTTCAAATGGATGTCAAATCAACTTTCTTAAAAGAAGAATTAAAAGAAGATATATGCATGAAACAACCAGAATGATATGTAATTAAAGGCCAATAAGACATTATATAAACTTAAAAAATCTTTATATGGTCTAAAATAGTCTTCTAAGTAATGATACTTTATTTTTCATAATGCAATCACTGAAATTGGTTATATAGCCAATAGGTGAGACCATTGTGTATATGTCTGGAATAATGTGAGCAATTTTGTTATATTGTCACTATATGTGAATGATATTTTGATAGCTGGTAATGATATTGGCATGATTAACCATACTAAATCATGACTAAGTTCCCATTTTGAGATGAAAGATATGGGAGAAGCCTCATATGTATTGGTCATTATGATAACAAGAGACATAAGTTCAATACTTTTATGTTTATCTCAAGAAAATTATTTAGAAAGTGTTTTAAAGAGATTTGAGATGAAAAATTGCAAGCCCATAGATACACCTGTTTGTAAAGACTTGAAATTATCAAAGAAAATGTGTCCATTAAATGATAGTGACAAAGCTGAAATAGAAAGAATTCCATATGCTCAAGCTGTAAGATACATAAATTATGCCATATTATGTACAAGACCTGATTTGAGTATGCATATGGTCTCATAATTATTTCAAAGTAATTATGGGATGGCTCATTGATAAGCTGTAAAAAGGATACTCAGATATATTTAGAATACTAAAAATTACAAGTTGTGCTTTCAAGTTGACAACTTAGAGGTTATTGGGTACTCTAATGCAAATTTTGCAAGAGACCCAGCTGATAGAAAAACAACCTCAGGAATTGTATTCCTCTTTGGAGGTAGATGTGTTTCTTGGTCTAATAAGAAACAAGGTTGTGTAGCTCGATATATTATGAAAGCCGAGTATATTGCTTGTAGCATTTACTTATGCCGTATGGATTAAACGCTTCATAAATGATTTGAAGCAGGATATAGTCGACAGACTTGTTAATTTTTTTGTGATAATCAAGCTGCTATTTCATCAATTAGAAAAGGAGCATATAGTTCCAAGGGTAAGCACATTGAAATTAATTATCATTATGTTTATAATATTATTAGAAAGAATGAAATAATTGTAAGTTATTTGTCATCTTCAAATATGATTGCAAACCCTTTAACAAAGGGATTGAGTGCAGAAATATTATCAAAACATGTAGTTTTGATGAGACTTAGAAATATTTAAGTCAGAAACTCCCAAATGGGATATTTTTTGATGTCTTGATCGTAAGAGGAAAAACCGCTTTAGCGTGAAAAACCATGACATGACCACACTTGCGTGAAAGCCTCATAACAAAAATATGCACATAAATCTTAAATTCATTAAGTAATAAAGACTTTATGATCTTAAAATATATCTGGCCCTCATGGCCAAGTGGGAGATGTTGGTACGTGTGTGTGGCCATGGGGCCTTTAAATATGTAATATTTCTCTCTCTTATAATTTAATGCTTATCACTAAAGGCTTCTTAAACAAAGAAAGTGTCGTTATCTAACAGCTATAAAGTAACCACACACTTTTCAAGATTACAGGACTATGTTTTCTCAGATATTTCAAGAGGAAACGGAACATTGGATAACGACTTCCTCCATCCCTCTTTAAGAAGGGTTCATGGCCATGGAGAGGTACACGGAAATTTACAGCGTTCTCACAGTTCTGGTAAAAGCCTGATCTTTGCGATCGATAGTCTAAAGATGTTGCCCTTAATCCTAAGAGTGGGTACATCTCTTCCCTCAAGTTTTTCAACACTTAATGGTAGAAGTAAGGTTGTATTAAAGTGGAAAAAATTTATATAAGGGTGGGGCCCTAAACTATCAAATTAAAATGCCCCTTAAAAATTTTGTAGAAGAAGTTGTTTCGATGCTAAAAAAACCCTACGCTGCGCTTCGACTTGGTCCGCATCTCCGCTGCGCTACGACTTGGTCCTCTAACTCTAACCTTTAGTCGACCAACCACCTTCTCCTTCCTAGGAAACCATTTTCAATCATCTCAATCTCAAGATGCATGGACATGAGAAAAAATTACATTTCAAGTCTTGAAAATAGTGCATCTTTTAATTTTATCTTGTCACACTATAACAATATTTTTTTCCCACTATTTGAAAGTAGTCTTACTTCAATTGGTTAGGGCCTCAACCTTATACAAACCACACCTTATTAATATAGCACAATTCATTTTATTTAAACAATGTAGATTTTATATTGTCTCAAAAGATATGACATATTTTACACTACCTTAAAAGGCGTGTCAAATATACATTGTCCAACTAAAGTGAATTATGTAGAACACTGCAGCCTTATTCCTACAATTAATGTTGCATTTTTATACAAACCGCACCCATATATAGTATATTATGTGGAGATTATGTATAAATAAATAAATTTTAAAATTTTAAAATAATAATTTTTAAATGGATTGTATATAATGGGACCATTTATCTTTGGTTCAAGGAGGTCACAATTACTTATAACCATTTAATGTGAAATCTGAAATCTTAGGTGTGTCACAATGTTCGAGAAATTTTTTTTTAAACTTTGAGCATGGTAAATGGAATAAATGTAGCCACCCAAATTCACATTTAATGGTGAAGATTAATTGTGATCACCTTGTACTAAAAAAAAATGGTCTCATTGTATATTTTCTGTTTTTTTTTAAAAAAAATTCATATAAGGGTGCAACGTTAAAATGTAAAATTAAGGTGCACCTCAAAAGTTGATCGAAAAAAGCTGCTTTGTTGTTAGAAAAACATCTAATTGACCATTTCAACATCAAGATGTATGAATATGAAAATAAAAAAGATTTTGGATCCCAAAAATAGTATATCTAGTAGCACATTATTTGGACCGTCCATTTTCAAGATATTCATTGTTTATAGATCTACTTGATTTCAAGCATCTTTGGAGTTCAAAAATTTATAATTAAATATGAAAATGGTTTCTTAAACTATCCTAAGAATTTTTGATACCTAAATTACATCTTATGATAAATTTTTGAGGTGGGCCTTACTTCGATTGTTTAAGGTTGCATGCTCATGCAAATCGCGCTTTTTTTTTCTTTTAGAAAAAGCTTTGAACTATTAATTTTACCCTTTTTGAAAAGGGAAAGGTTTCTATACTTTTCCTATAGAAGATCTATGCTTCTCCTATCATCTAGCTGTCCAATTTTGATCAAGAAAGCCATTAATCGTTTGATTTTATATTCGACGTCTCAAAGTAATTTTTTTTTATGCAAATTGTATGAATATGAAATTTGGTATGTGCCATCTTCTAATTGGGTTGCATACATAAAAAGTATTAAAAATAAAATTTTGATGAAATATAATGACCAAAATACCCCTTGTAACTTCAAAAGGTATTTTGGTCATTTTATTTTATTGAAAATATTATTTTTATATTTTTGGCTAGTGAGAGTTTAATAGAGGATTGGACGTATAAAATTTAGTATCAAAATAGTTTACGTAAAAAAAAAGTAAAAATAAAATTGTGTAGAGACGTGATGTTATAATTGAGGCAATCTTAGCCCTCCATTCAGAATGGACGGTTACATAAGGAGAAATATGAAAAGCTTGGCCCTTAAAAATTAGATCTAAAATCCATCTTAAAAATAAGAGAAATGATCCTGTACAACCCTCTCCCATGCATATGGATAGTACTTCAAAGGATCGCCATTAAATTTGATACGAATATGTAAAAAAGTCAAATCCTACACTTGTATGATAATTTCTTTAGACATCCATATCAAATTTAATGGTGATCATTCAATGTCTTGAGGGATCCCATGAAATATCAAATTTAATGGTGATCATTCGATGTCTTGAGGGATCCCATGGAGTCGTTAATCTACAAATGGATTGGAGCTCATATATGAACGAGTCCTGAGATCCTAAAAGCCCTGTTCTAAATATATTGAAGGCGTTATGCCTCACGTGCTGCTTATAAAGATGGTCCGACATGTTAACGGCGGTGGCGCGCGCTCTCTCTTTCTCTACGATTTTAGTGACCTTGTACTACTATGTCTGTCTAGTTCCGCACTCTCTATCTACATTACCCATTTACCTCGCACTTTCTTTCTCTACGGTCTGCGTGCATTGAGTCTTTCTCTTTGGTATGAAATTTTACTCATGCAGTTGTTTGCTGGTGGATGAAACCCTTGCAACGTCAAAAGCTTCAGATTTGTGAACTGTAAATTCCAAACCTTGAAATGAGAGGTCAAGAGTTAGGATGTGACAATACAGCAGTTGGAAGTTGCAAGTTAGAGTTGCATCCTCTCTCCTCAATTTCTGAGAGAGAAAGGTTACCTTTTGTTTCTTTGATTGCTAAAGAGAGAAGGGAGACTGTTGTTGCTGAGAACTTTGGGCTGAGATTGAGCACCACTTCAGAGTCATTCATGGCTTTTTGTGTGTACTATCTGGCCCTAACCAGTCCCCTGTAATGGAAAAAATGCGCTAAATTTTACTGTGTGGGAGGATCTCTATTGTATGATGCCGAATAGCTTGGATAATAATCGCGGCCATGGCTCTGAAAGTCCCCCTCTCCTAAAGAGAACCCGCACTCTTGATCACAGCTTCCTCAACGGTCCTCTTCGCTCAGCTGTGCGTCGACTCCATAGCTCCCCTCCGAACCCGAACCGTAATTCTCTGCAAAACCCTAACCCTAATTCTCCTCAATCTTCAGACCCCATTTATCCTCAAAATATCAGTCCCAGTTTTCTGGATAACCCGAACTCTAATCCCGTGGTTCGAGATCTTGATCATTCTGATTCTCCGTTTCTTGCTCGAGATTGGTGCTATCCTTCATTTCCTCAGCCTCCCAAGGAGCCTCCTCTCTCCTCTAAGCCTTTGAAGCCCAAAAGGGTTGAAGAAGACGAAAATACCATTTTGGCCGTGCCAGAATTGTCCAAATTTCCCTCAAAATCGCCAGAATCCAACAGACACACATTGCCGGATTCCAATGACAAGAGTGGGGTGGCTCCGAAAGTGGCAGTCAAGGAGAAGAGACAAACTTTTGGCAAGTGCTCGTGTTCCATGATGGTGAATTCGAAGCAAGTTAATTCCGAACCTTTGGCTTTGTTTCTGCTAAAGAAGATTTTTGTGCTCAGATCATTGTTCATGTCCCTGGTGAGTTTGTGAATCATAAGAAATATTGTTTCTTTCATGGTTCTTAGTTTTGAGGTGGTGGAGCTATTCATGTATGATGTACGTTTAATTTAATTTCAGCAATAAATGATAACTTTGTTCATATCCGAAAATTGATCACTGAATTTTTGCAATACGTTTTTTCTGTTCTTATAGAAAACCAACTTTTGATCTCACAATAGTGTTCAATTTGGTTTTATTCTTGTGTGAGAACTCAATTTTCAAATGCTCTATTAGATCTCTAGTAATACTCTGTTCTTCAGTAGAAAACTAAGATTTTCTGTATTAGCTTATGATAGTTAGGGGTGGATTACGAGCTCCTCAGTGCATGATTCTCTAACTAGAATTACAACCATACTTTGATTTTGTGAGAATTGACTGGAACGCCTTATATGCTTGATGCAATGCACCACACTTGACCTCAAGTTTTATATTCTGTTCAAATTCATTGTTTATTTTCTCATTTATTGTATTTGAAACTTGAAAGTTCATTTCTACTGCTGTTTCTCCTAATCTTCTTCCTTGGCCTTTCACTCTCCTTGTCACGATTAAGGGCTTCAGTACTAATGTCCAATGTTATGGCTTGTTGAACCAAAAAGAAGACCCAGTAATTCTTTTCTAGGTTTCTGATTGAAAATACTGACACCAACGCTGTATCTAAGGGTGATTGGAACTTGGGCCAGACCACCAATCTTTGTTGTGGTTTTATTCTCATCAGGTACCAATATTAGTAACAATGCCTTGAGTCTGATTTGTTGGAATTTGTCGAATCACCGGATATTTTATATAATTGGCAAAAAGGTGTTGTGTTCTCTCTTGATGTAAAAAAAAACAAGAGTAATGTGATGAAGCAACATGTTTTTGCCTGTATTAAGTCAAAGGTACTCCATTGTTATAATTTTCATAATTGGGATACCTCTATTTCCCATTATTAGTTGCCTCTCTCGTCCTCTCTGTCTCTCTCTCTCTCTTATCACAGTTTTCTGACATCCTGTTTATCCAATATCTTTTTTAATAATTATTTCCTATCTAGCCTATGTACCTTTCTTTTGAAAGTTGGCCTGTGTACCCTTTGAAGCTACATTTCCAACCTTTGTTTGGGATAGGTATGCTAGGATTCAAATTTTGGTGGTAGTCTGTGGCGCTTTTGACCTAACCACGAAGTTATTGACTACACTCATGTTTTGTGCTTCTCTTGGTTTCTTCCCTTCTTTAATATGTTTATGCTCTTTATTGTTTACACACATTTCAAGTGCATCGATCTTGTTTTGCACTGACACATGTAGTAGCATGTTGCACTTCCTCTTGCAGCTAGTTGCTTCCACCCAAGAGGCCCTTCAAATTTTGATAGGTAATAAAAAATAGCAGTAAGATTATCTAAATCTAGATTTTCTGTCAGAATATCGATGATCTAGTATTGGAGTCAGGTTTGAGTCAGGTTTTGCACTGGATTGATTTGAACCTTGTCTCTGAAATTTATCTGTTGCATATGGTACAAGTAAATAATGCATTATTTAGAGAATCAATGAATGAATTCTGATTAACTCATTTACCCCAACAAAAATAGATAAAAAAAAAAAAGAATTCTGACTAACTCTTATGCACGAGACTTGGCTTGGTACTTAGTCTGGTCCTGAGCTGAACGGACTTTCCGAGCTACAAAATGACTTAGTGAGTCTTTAAACCTCATTTTAAATTAAAGAAATTCAAACATAACAAACTGATATGTATAATAGAAAAATGTTTTGCCAGATTCATATTTTTAGGATAATTTTTTTCTAAATGTCTTCATATCTTTGAGGAGTCCTTTGTGAGTTTTTTTTTTAACGAAAAAAAAAAAAAATCTTTGTGCAGTTTGGCTGTATGGCACTTGTAAATTTTCAAAATGTGATTTAATTTTGAGCTATTCATCAAAATGATCATCATGCATTGTTTCATTCGATATGTAACAAAGATTTGTGAAGAAACATTCAGAAAGGTTTAGCTATTGTATTCTGACTGTTTTGGCTTATTCAAACTTCTGTTTTGGCAGCTTCTTGTGTCTTGTATATTATGTATCTCATATGCAGCATCCATGCATGTCAAAGTTGCAGATCTTGAGGTTGGTTTTATTACAGTTTGATATTTTTTCCTGTTCTTTAGTTGTAAAATTTACTCAAAAGTTAAGTATGATTTTAGATTAATGCTTTGTAACTTGGCATCATTTACACATTTTTTCCTTTATATTACAGGAAGAGCTTTCTAATCTTCGTAGGGTATGTAGCAAACAGGAAACTGAAATTCTTGGCAGTGGTCAAGTTGGAGAGCTTCATTATGGTTTTCCTTCAGGATTTGGTGACCTTAACAGTCGAAAGATTGCTCTGTACACGGTTTTGGTAACTCTAGTCACTCCATTTTTGTTCTTTAAATATCTTGACTATCTTCCTAGAGTGTATACAACTTCAAAGAATGGGAGGTGCAATGGCGAAGAGGTTCCTTTGAAAAAGAGAATTGCATATAGAGTGGACGTATGCTTCTCTTTGTATCCCTATGCAAAGCTTCTTGCCCTTCTTTCTGCAACAATAGTGCTGATTGCGTTTGGTGGGTTAGCACTATATGCAGTGAGTGATGGTAGCCTCTCTGAAGCTTTATGGCTTTCATGGACTTTTGTGGCGGATTCAGGAAATCATGCTGAAATGGTTGGCACTGGTCCTCGTATTGTTTCTGTGTCTATCAGTGCTGGGGGTATGCTGATTTTTGCCATGATGCTTGGGCTTGTTTCTGATGCAATATCAGAAAAGGTGGATTCATTGCGAAAAGGAAAGAGTGAAGTTATTGAGAGAAACCATATTTTGATTCTTGGATGGAGTGACAAACTGGTAATTGGCCAAAGCATTTGCATTTTTTCAGCTTTCGTTTCTCGTGAAATAGTCTGATATCCATAAATTGCTGCTTTTTGTTCTAAATGTTATGCCTTTAGAAACAAAAGAAAAGAAATCCTAAATGATATGATCATCAAGTGGACAAGGTATGTTTTTTTCAGGAGCTATTATTGGAGATCCATTCTTTTTGTGATGCATTATAAACTTCTAACTTGTTGGACTTCTTTTGTCAAGCAACCTTTTGTGAATGAGATTCATTTCAGACTTATTTTACTTTTCCTGGATTCATAGTATCCATTGTTTACATCCTAATCCAAAGATAAACTTCCTTGAGGTTGATGTCGGACCTGTTTTGGCAGCAATTTTATGTGAAGGAGAGTCATTTGGATTTAATGATTTTGCTTTGTCCATGGATTTGTATTATCCATTATCTAAACAATTCAAAAAAGAAAAGCAATTTAAACAAGAAAAAACAACAAAGTTTGGACACTCAACTAAGGAAGGAATCTGTAGGTTCCAGTGTATTTTATGGCATATTTATTTTAGGGAAATTGACATAGTGCTCCCTCCCTAAAACCACTATATTAGATCCCCACAAGCTACCCTTTTCTTTCCTACTTATCATATATCCCACCCTCATATCCACAAAGTTGGAATCTTTCCACCTAAAATACCTCCTTTTTTTTTTTGAAGTTCTCACCATGTTCCAAACGAACATAAACTCAAGTGTCATCACTTCTCTTCCTTTATCATTCTTGTTCTCTCTGTCCCCCCGCCCCCTTTTTTTTTTGGGCAAATAAACCGAATGGCATGTGCTAAACGAGGCACCCCCTGCCCTCTTTTTCTTCATCTCTTTTCTGTAGATTGTGCCTACCCATCATGTACACCTCTCTTCCTCTCTCTGTTTTGCCCCCTCTTTCTTAACCCCCTCCTGCATCCTTCTCTCTCTGCTTCTCTCAAGCTGTTTAGGAAGAGAAACTGCCATCGAACCACCTGCTGTTCTGGCCCCACAAAGGTCATGCTTATCATCTTGCATGCTTTCCATTAAAAAATAGTGATTTTCCATTATTATAGAGCTTTATTTATCAAAATTCAATCCAAAAAAAACAGAGTTTACAACTTGTAGACCTAGAGAAAGAATCAAACCATTGACAATGGAAACCTAAAACCAGAAACAACTGACTGCATAGTAGAGAGAGAGAGAGAGAGAGAGAGAGAGAGAGAGAGAGAGAGAGAGAGAGAGAGAGAGAGAGAGAGAGAGAGAGAGAGAGAGAGAGAGAGAGAGAGAGAGAGAGAGAGAGAGAGAGAGAGAGAGAGAGAGAGAGAGAGAGAGAGAGAGAGAGAGAGAGAGAGAGAGAGAGAGAGAGAGAGAGAGAGAGAGAG